GGTTAACTTGTAGGCTATTTATTAGACATATATATTTTTAAACATATGTTAACTTACCTTTCTCTTATAACTAGCTTAGAATGTATATGCCACATCACCTTATACATACCCTCTATTTAAAACTCATCAACTGTGTAAGTGCATATGAAAATGTTGATGTCAGTGGGTATGGTGGTATACCCCTATTGTCCCAGCTTCTCAGGAGGCTGAGGCAGGAGGATCATTTGAACCTAAGAATTCAAGTCTGGGTAACACAGCAAAACTCAGCAAAAAAAAACACAGCAAAAAATTGTTGATGTCTTACTGATTGCTTTTTTTAATTGGAGCATGTCACCCTTTTCAGAGCTTTTCATTATTTATGTAATGAGTTAGGTTTTTTTGCTATAAAAATAGGCAATTTGATTAAACAATGAAAAGCCCTAAAAGAAATGCTAATGAAACATTAGGGAAGAGATCATTTCAGAGACCAAAGAGAAAGAAATGCCACCGAGACAAAAAAAAAAAAAAAAAAAAAAACAGTAAAACAGAGCCTCTGAACAGTAAAAAGAAAAGAAGCAAGTATGAAAAAGAAAGTACAGTAGTACTAATCTGAAAGAAGTATAGAGTGGGGCCAGGTGCAGTAGCACAGACCAGTATACTTAAAATGATTAAAATGGGCCAGGCGCTGTGGCACAGACCTGTAATTCCAGCAACTTGGGAAACTGAGGCAGGTAGATTGCAGTTTGAGGTTTCAACCCTTACAACTTAGCCAGACCCTGTCTCAGGGTGTAACTCAGTGGTAGAGCGTCCCTGGGTTCAATCCTCAGTATAAAAAAAAAAAAAGCATAGGATGGGAATCGTCAACAAATTTAATTCATTTTTGGTATTGAAAATACTTGCTGTAACATAACTGAGATGTGCTGGACTCTGTTCTGATTCTGTATACTTCTCATTCCATCTAATAAATAAATGCCTGCCATATTCAGAAAAAGATAGTTTCCCATATGTTTGGACTTGTTAATGACCAACTGCAAACAGAGAAGTTAACAAAAATTAACATTTCCAAAATTAAAGTTAAGATGAATGCAGTTTCTTTAGAAATAGTAAAACTTCTCCCAAGTACAGCTAGATTGGTTGATAATAGCATATGATAATATTTTTCTTTCTTTCTTTTTTTTTTTACTTGTTGATGGACACAATATCTTTATTTTTATTTGTTTATTTTTATGTGGTACTGAGAATCGAACCCAGGGCCTCATACATGTGAGGCAAGTGCTCTACCACTGAGCTACAACCCCAGACCCAATGTTTCTTGATTTTAGCTGGATAGATGTATGTATATTTTTTTATTTAAACAGTCCTTTAACTGTATTTGTTCATCAATTGTAAAGATATAATTTAAGTTTTATAATGATAACTCTAAATTAAAATATTTTTATTAATGTTTTATTAAGTTGTGGTAAAATATACATAACAAAATTTACAATTTTAAACATTTTTTAAGTGTTCAATTCAGTGGTAGTAAGTACATTCACAAGATTGTGTAACCATCACCTCTGTTTCATCATCTAAAATAAACACTGTAACCCATTAAGCAATAACTGTCCTCTCCTCAGCCTCTGGCAACTACCATTTTCTACTTTCTGTCTCTTATGAATTTAACTGTTACAGGTACCTCACACAAGTGAAATCATATAGTAATCATCAATTTATATCTATCTTAATGTTGATTAGAATAATTTTTTAAACTTCATCAGTGTTGTAGCAAGTATCAAAATTTTATTTTGTCTTATGGCTGAATATTTTTTATATATATATACCAAATTTGTTTTTTCATTTGTCTGTTGGTAGACACTTAGATTTTCTACTTTTTGACTACTGTGAATATGCTTCTTTGAACAGTGTTACAAGTATGTTTCAGTACCAGTTTCTAGTTCTTTTGAGTATATACTTGTGAGTACAATTGTTCAGTCATGTGGTAATTCTGTTTATATTTCTGAAGAATCTCCAAACTGTTTTCCATAGCAGCTGTGCCATATCACATTCCCACCACTGGTGCACTATGGTTCCACTTTCTTTTGTTTCTTTTCAGGACTGAGGATGTAACTCAGGGCCTTGTACTTGCTAGGCAAGCGTTCTGTTACTGAGCTGAATCGCTAACCCCAGTTCCACTTTCTTTATATCCTTTTCAATGCTTGTAATTTTCTGTTTTCAGAACTATAGTCATCCTAATGGGCATGAAGTGATATGTTATTGTGGGTTTGATATGCATGTTCCTAATGACTAATGATGAGCATCTTTTCACATGCTTGTTGGTTATCTTCTTTGGAGAATGTTTAGTTAAATCCTTTGGCCATTTAAAAATTCTAATTTCATTTTTGAATCATGATTTCTTAAGCTAGGGTATGTAGACACATTCTAATGGAAGGGAATCAAGTCCTCTTGGTTTCAACTTCCTTTGGGAGCCCAGGCCTCTCTGTTTCAATATTACTGCCTCCTTCCTTTATCTTGGTAGTCACTTTTTGCTATCCCTAATCTCTTGACCACTTCACTGGTGCCTGTTTAGCCCTTCACTCTTTCATTGGTGATATATCAAAATCTTTGCATTAAATTCTCTCTTACTGTATGATATGGTTTTTGTTATCCTGGGTAGACCTTGACAAAGCATAAGCTCCCTCATTTTATTTTATTTATTCATTTATTTTGGTATCAGGGATTGAACCCAGGGGTGCTTAACCACTGAGCCACATCTCCAGCCATTTTTTATATTTTACTTAAGAGACGGGGTCTCACGGAGTTACTTAGGGCTTCACTAAATTGCTGAGGCTGGCTTTGAACTCACAATCCTCCTACCTTAATCTCCTGAGTGACAGGGATTACAGGTGTTGCCACCATTCCCAGCTCCTTCATTTTATAATGGGAAAAAACTTGGACCTTTTTTCTTCCAAATACATTTTTTTATTACTTGGTATTCAAGGGAAAACTGTACTGGAATTCCTGAAACTAAGAAGGAGGATCACAACAAGTTCAAGGCCAAACTCAGAAATTGTGCAAAAGTCTGTCTCAAAAACAAGATCCTGGGTTCAATCCCCAGAACCTAAAAAAAAAAAAAAAAGAATTTCTCCGAATTCATGTAGCTAGTGGGCAGCCAAATGTTGTGAGACCATAATACCTTGATTCTCAGTCCCTTTCTCATTCTAAAAAATTAAAACTTTCCAGCCAGACACATAGTGGCACATATCTGTAATCCCAGAAATTTGTGAGGCTGAGGCAGGAGGATTGTAAGTTCTAGGTCAGCCATAGCAATTTAGCAAGGCTCTAAGCAATTTAGTGTAACCCTGTCTCAAAATAGGGATGTAGCTCAGTGGTAAAGTGCCCCTGGGTTGAATTCCCAGTACTGCTAGAAAAAAGAAAGAAAGAAAACTGAGGGGAAAAGTATGTCGAAGACAGTCCAGAATTAAAACTGTTCTCTACAGTTTTTTTAGGGTGTTAGTCTCTTTGTCAGATACAATGTAATGACTGTCTCCTATTGAGACAGTTCATATCTAGGGTAACCCCAACTCAAGTTGAAGGGTTTCACATGGTAGTTTTTCTTTGAGTTACCTGTAGTAAGCAGAGCTTCTCTTAAAGTTCTTCATGAATACCTACAGTATGCTGAATATTAGGGATGATACAAGTTTCATCACATGACTTTTAAGGTCAATGACATTTACAAGTTAATTAATAATTTGATAATGGAGAAAATTCATAGTTAGAAGTAAAATACTGGACATGATTACTTTCCAGGGAAAATAGAAGAAGGCATTTGACATATGATCTGGATGATAAAGATGAATTGTAATTCAGAAAGAAACAAAGAGGAAGCAGGAAGTAAAAGTAAAGAGTTCGTGGAAAGAAAAAACTAACTCAGTACCCAACTGGGTACACTGATATGTTATCTCAAATTACCCTCCAGAAAACCTTATGAGCTTAGCTATTTTAGAGGTAAAGAAACTGATCCCAGAAAGTTAAGTAACATGAATAAATCACAGGTCATTATTTGTTGGAAACTTGAATTAAGGGGCTATATTAACTAGGTAGTTGCTTACAGTGAATGTGCAATTTAAATGGTACCAATTTCATTGTATTATTTATAAGACTGCAGAGGAGTCCTATATACAGAGGGAAGATTATTCTCAGGGACTGTAGTATATATGTTGGGAAAATAAAGAATACAAAAACTTTGGATATACATAAAGTTTGGTTTTGAATACCAAACTTCAAGAGAGGATGTTTTCCCAAATGGTGCCTGTACATTTTCTTATAATACCCAGGAGTAGCACCCTCTTTTTTCATAAATGTTAGATAGTTGATGATTGGTGTGTGTGTGTTTGTGTGTGTGTGTGTGTGTGTGTCTGTGTCTGTTGTCTGTGTGTGTTTTGTTAGGGATCATACCAAGGGCCTCAAGTACACTCGACAGGCTCTCCACCACTAAATTATACCCCAGCCCAGGAGTCATAATTTAAAGCAGCCCAAACTAACAGTGTCACAGACCCCAACTGTCCTGAGTGATTAAATAAAGGTCAATTCTAAATCTTCAAATGCCTTGTATTCCCTCTATGACTGAAACGCAGATGACAAGCATACAGTTAGAGAGACAGACTGACAAGCATGTAAATGATGATTCTAAAGAGTATATTGCTGGGGGGCTGGGATTGTGGCTCAGTGGCAGAGCTCTTGCCTCACAAGTATGAGGCACTGAGTTCTGTCCTCAGCACCACTTTAAAATAAAGGTATTGTGTCCATCTACAACTAAAAAATTAAATAAATAAAAGTATACTGCTAGTAGTCTTCTCATAGGAATAGTTTATAACAAGCTTAAGTATTACATTTTCTTCAACTCCTTATTATAATCACACATTTTTCAGGTAGCTTAAATCCTATAGGGAACAAATGGGATGAGAATAAACAGGGAAAAGAAGAAGAAAAATAAACAGGTCTCCACTGTTAAAGAAATCTACTACTATATTTGTTATTCTCAGGAAATTACTACAATCAAGGAGAGATTCGTAAGAAAGAACTTTTGCAGAGCTGTGATGTTTTGGGGATTCCAACCTCCCAAGTTATGATTATTGATAACAGGTAATTTATCTTTTTTTTTTTTTTTAAACACAAGTGGAGCACAACTTTTCATTCCTCTGGTTGTGCACGATGCAGAGTCACACCATTCATGCAATGGCACATGTACATAGTGAAATAATGTCTGTCTCATTCCACCATCTTTTCCACCCCCACTCCCTCTCCCTCCCCTCTGCCCAATCCAAAGTTTCTCTATTCTTCCCCCTCGCCCTTTATAAATCAGTATTCACTTATCAGAGAAAACACTTGGACTTTGGTTTTTAGGGATTGGCTTACATCGCTTAGCATATTCTCCAAATCCATCCATTTACCCACAAATGCCATAATTTCATTCTTCTTTTAAGGCTATATAAAATTCCAGTGTGTATGTGTGTGTGTATGTGTATTTATATATGTATGGTATATATACACATGTGTGTGTGTGTGTGTGTGTGTGTGTGTGTGTGTGTGTGTGTTTTGTTAGGGATCATACCAAGGGCCTCAAGTACACTCGACAGGCTCTGTACCACTAAATTATACCCCAGCCCAGGAATCATAATTTAAAGCAGCCCAAACTAACAGTGTCACAGACCCCAACTGTCCTGAGTGATAAAATAAAGGTCAATTCTAAATCTTCAAATGCCTTGTATTCCCTCTATGACTGAAATGCAGATGACAAGCATACAGTACACACACACACACACACACACACACACACACACACACCCCACAGTTTCTTTATCCATTCGTCTACTGAAGGGCATCTAGGTTGGTTTAGGTATTGTGAATTGAGCTATAAACATTGATGTGGCTGCGTCACTGGAGTATGCTGATTTTTAAGTCCTTTGAGTATATCCCAAGGAGTGGGATAGCTGGGTCAAACTGTGGTTCCATTCCACGTTTTCTAAGGAATTTCCATGCTGCTTTCCAGAGTGGTTGCACCAATTTGCCTCCCACCAGCTTATGGTTGCTTGTATTTTCTTTTTGACTAGAGTGAAATAAGATCTTAGAGTACTTTTGATTTGCATTTCTCTGAATGCTAGAGATGTTGAACATTTTTTCACATACTTGTTGATTGATCATATTTCTTCTTCTGTAAAGTGTCTGCTTAGTTCCTTAGCCCATTTATTGATTGGGTTATTTGTTTTTTTGATGTTAAGTTTTTTGAGTTCTTTATATATCCTGGAGATTAGTGCTCTAACTGGATGTGTGTGTGATAAAGATTTTCGCTCATTCTATAGGCTCTCTCCTCACATTATTGTTTTCTTTGCTGAAAAGAAGCTTTTTAATTTGAATCTATCTCATTTATTGATTCTTGATTTTATTTCTTGTGATTTTTTAGGAGTCTTGTTAAGGAAGTCAGGTCCAAAGCTGACATAATGAAGACTTGGGCCTACTTTTTCTTCAGTTAGGTGCAGGGTCTCTGGTTTAATTCCTAGGTCCTTGGTCCACTTTGAGTTGAATTTTGTGCAGAGTGAGAGATAGGGATTTAATTTCATTTTGCTGCATATGGATTTCCAGTTTTCCCTACACTATTTGTTGAAGAGGCTAGCTTTCCTCCAATGTATGTTTTTCCCCCCTTTGTCTAGTATGAGATAACCGTATTTATGTGGGTTTGTCTGTGTGTCCTCTATTCTGTACCATTAGTCTACATATCTATTTTGGTGCCAATACCATGCTCTTTTTGTTTCTATAGCTCTGTAGTATAATTTAAGGTCGGGTATTGTGATGCCTCCTGCTTYATTCTTCTTGGTAAGAATTTCTTCGGCTATTCTGGGTCTCTTATTTTTTCCAAATGAATTCCATGATTGCTTTTTCTATTTCTATGAGGAATGTCATTGGGATTTTAATTGGAAATGCATTAAAT